GAGACTCGCTTGAGCCCGGGAGTTGGAGGTTGCTGTGAGCTGTAATGCCATGGCACTCTACCCAGGGGGACAGCTTGAGGCTCTGTCTCAAAAAAAAATGAAAATAAGTTTTAGGGGTAGAGTTTCTTAGCAGTGAGATCTTTGAGTCAAATGATAAATGTATACATTGTTAATTTTTTCTCAATTTTTGAAAATTTCAAGCATACACCAAAGAGAATGGTATAAATAATCTCTGTATACCATTGCCCAGTTTCAACATTTATCAACATTTTGCTACTTTGTTTTATTTCTTCTCTCCCCCTCTTTTATTTCTAGAGTATTTTAAAGCTAGTCCAGGTAAAAATATGGTCAGGGCCTTGTGGTCTTGGCATATGCAGAAAGAAATATAGGAATGCAGAGATCCAAGAATTCTCTCCCAAGAATATGTTACAATATTTTCTCCTAGTTTTCAGTTGTCTTTTGGCTTTTTTTTGTATGTATAAAAAATTATTTTTGTTCAGTAAATTTATTGATCTTACCCTTTATTGTCTCTAGATTTGACTTATGCATACATAGAAAGCTTTCATTACACAGAAGCTAAAGAATTCTCATGATTTTTCTAGTATTTACATGGTTCTATTATATATATTTTAATACACTTTTTTTTTATTTTTTCAAAATAGGCTTTATTTTTTACCTTATTTCTTTGAACATACTTTTAGCCCAGTGCCTTGGCTATAATTTCAGCACTTTGTGAGGCTGAGGTGGGAGGATCACTTGAGACCGGAGTTGAATGTTGCAGTAAAGCTAGGATCAAGCCACTGCACCCCTAGCCTGAGAAACAAAGCAGATCCTATCTCAAAATAAAAGAAAATAGACTTTATATTTTACTTCATTAAAAAAAATACTTTATTTTTTTGTTTTTTATTTTTTTTTATAATACAAATATATTTTATTTGAAATAAAAAATGCTCACACAGCTCAATGGGTCACTTGGAAACAAACTTGCTTGACTGTATTACTGAGCAAAAACAAAGTTTAAGCAGAAATACCCTCCTTTTTTGACATGTATTTGGAGATTTAAGAAGACACTACTTGGTTGGTTTTTAAAAAGCGGACCTTCCCTTAAGGCCTGGTCATAGAAGTGTAAACTATGTAAATGAATCCACCATTACCAGCTGTCATACCCTATCTATGTCACCTGTGCATTCTGAGATCACACACATACCTGCCAATATACCTGGGGAGGGTTGCATTATCACAGTTACATTTGAGTTCTTGGCAGGCAGGACTGAGGAAGAGTAATTTGGAACAAGTTTTACATCCTATTCAGAAGGAATCAGTAGTATTTCCTTAAATAACAGGTTACAATAGAAAGATGCTGCCTGGAAGTTTCCTTTTCACTTTGGTTCATTTTTAGTTTCTGTTTGTGATTTATATAGTTGTTTGATGCATTTGCTTACAGCACAATCCTGCCATAAAATATTAAAGCACAAGATTCCTTCAACATCTGCATTTTTCAAGTTTTATATTTTACTACATCCACAGTATGCCAGTAGTTTTAAAATGTTTACAAAAAATAAAGGGGTAAAACTTTTCTAAAAATGCAGATGTCGGTAGCTACAATGGTACTAGATGAGAAGACGACAACGAGGGAAGGGAAGAACCTAACATGTTCACGTGCGGGACTGTGGTTCAAGTCTTTGGATTTAAAAACAAGTTCCCCAGAGAAGCTGGCTGTAGTGGAATTTCCAGAAAACTTCCTTTGCCTCCCAAAAGGACCTGAGAAGTCCTAATCCAAACTTTGGAAAACTACTGTTATGAGATGCTAATAAATGATGATCAAAGCATTTGGAGGGAGAAGGGTGAACGTGTCTTCCGTTTAGCTATAGCTTGTATAGCACAGCCTCTCTAGCTGTGGGTGGGTAAGTAAAAACCACTGAAGGTCTTTAAATGACAGGGGTAGAAAAGTACTAAACATTATTACCTTGTCCAAATCAGTAACAAGGCTTCATGGCTAGGAATATTTTCTAAATGATAAAATGACTCCAGGATAAACCTCTTTCTCTAACATTAAATGTAGCAAAATTAACAACAACAAAAAAATTTACAAGTAGGTCTAGTGATAACAAAAAATTACAAAGCAGAGAACACAGAAGAATCAGGACAATGCTACAAGTTCAACAGTATTCCAATGAGGCTAGAAAACCTGATGACTTTGAAAGCCCTAGCAAAATATCACTCTTGTTTATAAATCACTTATTTATCATATGACCACATGTTGAATCCTTTTTCTTTCCACATACTGAAGAATCCTACATTCAGCCTTTAAGCATTCTGCATTTCTTTGCCAATCTTGTAACTGAGTATCTTGTTCCAGTCGATTTTGGTGCGGGTAACTGGAAGCTGCCGGCGCAAAGCCTTGAATGTGGTATCTGACATTGTTTGATAGTTTTCACTAATTGCTGTCTGATACTCATTTTCTACATTCTCTATGATTTTAATAAACTCCTTGGCAGTTTGAACTTCACTTGAAACAGTTATTGAATCCTGCACATCTTTATGACTAACCAACTGAACATTGCCATCTTCATAATAGTGAACCTGAGTCTTAAGCACTCCAACCACCTGGGCTGTAGGTGGTATGACAGTGAACTTCCACTCTAATCTCCCAACGACCACTCCAGAAGTTTTTAGGTTGAAACTGGTGGCTTTCAATACATGCAATAATAATCTGTAGTTTATTTTATCTGCCCATCTATAGTTTTAGCATAAACAGTACAGAAGCCATTGGAATAATGATCTTTCACATAGGTTCTTAAAGCACTATCACAGGATTCTCTCCAAGACTTCAGACCTCCATCTACTTCTTCTGGCTGGGGGTCCCTTGCTTCTTTCTGTAAGTGATCAAACTTAAAGGAAATTTTGTTTCTTGGCTCTAAAAATCTGCTATTACCCAGGTCACTGTGTTCTGTAATTAAGACCTGATCTTCATATCCTTCTATCTTCACCTTGTGAACTGTCCATGAAGTGTGAACTGGTCCATGTTATACTGGGCAAATGCATGTGCTGCCCCTTCCCTGAGGAGATTGTCATTATTTTTTTATTTTTTATTTTTTTTGAGACAGAGCCTCAAGCTGTCCCCCTGAGTGGAGTGCCATGGCATCACAGCTCACAGCAACCTCCAACTCCTGGGCTCAAGTGAGTCTCCTGCCTCCACCTCCCAAGTAGCTGGGACCACAGGCGCCCGCCACAACACCCAGCTATTTTTTGGTTGCAGCCGTCATTGTTGTTTGGCGGGTCTGGGCTGGGGATTCGAACCCGCCACCTTAGGTGTACGTGGCTGGCGCCTTAGCTGGTTAAGCTATAGGCGCCGAGCCGAGATTGTCATTATTAAGTAGTAGCCAAGCATCACTGAATACTTCATTAAATTCCCCTGGGGGTGCATGAGTGATGAATTTAGCAGCTATGCGTACCTTCTTATCGGACACCTGATCCTTGAAGTTGGCCATCTTGGCTGCTCTGGCCCAGCTTGGCTACGGGGTGCGAGGCAGGCTGGCAAAAAAATAGACTTTAAGTGCACAGCAAAATTCCCTTGCTGTTTCCAAAATGTCCCTTGCTTCTATACATGCATAGCCTTTCCCATTATCAATATCTTGCACTGGAGTATTGTTACAATTGAGGAACCTACCTTGACATACCACCATTGCCCAGAGTCTATAGCATACGTTAGGGTTCACTCTTGGTTATGTATATTCTATGTGTTTTGACAATGTATCAATGACATGTATCCACTATTATAGTGTCATACTAAAAAGTTTCACCTCTTAAAAATGCCTGGTGCTTCACCTGTTTATCCCCCTCTTCCTTCCCACTCCCTTTGGCAACCACTAATCTTTTTGTCGTCTTCATATTTTGCCTTTTTTATAATGTTATATAATTGGGATCTTATAGTATATACCCTTTTCAGATTGGCACCTTTCACTTAGTAATACACATTTTAAGATTCCTCCATGTCTTTTTGTGGCTTGATGGCCCCCCCTTTTTTTTAAACATTGAATAATATTCCATTATCTGGGTATAACAGACTTTATTTATCTATTCTGCTGAAGGGCATCTTGGTTGCTTCCAAGTTTTGGCAATTATGAAGAAAGCTGCTACAATCATCTGAGTGCAGGCTTTTGTGGGACTTAAGTTTTCGACTGGTTTTATATTTTACATCTAGTTTTCTAATCCATTCAAGTTTATTCTTATATATCATGTGACATGTAAATGAAATTTTATCTTTTCCTAGTGACTACTTAGTTCTCCCAGGATCATTTATTTAAAACAGTAGTTTTCAACCTGTGGGTTGTGACCCTTTTGTAACAATGAAAATATATCATGGCATTAGGAAGATTGAGAACCACTGAGTCAGAGCTATAAATGTGCCTATCACCCGAATAGTGTTCATTAGTACCCATTAGGTGGGCTTTTGCCCCCCTCCCCACTTGGTTTCCTGTGACCTTTATTTTTTTTGTAGAGACAGAGTCTTACTTTATCGCCCTGGGTAGAGTGCCATGACATTGCACTACTCACAGCAACCTCCACCTCCTGGACTTAAGTGATTCTCTTGCCTTTGCTTCAGCCTCCCGAGTAGCTGGCACCACAGGCGCCTCCCACAGTGCGCGGCTATTTTTTTGTTGCAGTTTGGCTGGGGCTGGGTTTGAACCCGCCACCCTTGGTATATGAGGCTGGCACCCTACCCACTGAGCCACAGGTGCCGCCCTCCTGTGACTTTTAAAAAGTTCATCTTTGTCCTGACAATTGGAGATGTCATCTTGATCAAATCTGTTTATGTACTTGAGGCTATTCTGAGCTTCCTTTTCTGTTCCAATGGTTCATTTGTCTATTCATGTGCCAGCATCACACTTTTAATTATAAAGGCTTTATAATATATTTTAATGTCTGTTAGGTATATTTGCTGTATTAGATTTTGTTTTTTCTGTTCTCCTGGCTATTTTTCACATTTATTTTTCCCTGTGAATTGTAGTTTCAAACTTCAAATTTTCACAAAAAACTTACTGGTTTTTTTTCTTGAGGGGGGGATTGTGTTAAAATTATAAATTAGTCTAGAAGGAATAGACAATTTAATAATATTTAGTTTTCTATCCAAGAAGAGGCAATGTCTTTATATTTATTCAAGTCTATTTTAGTGTCCTTTAAAAGTGTTTAAAAATTTTTTCTCATATAGGTTTTATACATGCTAAGTTTAAGTATGTAGTTTTCTTTGTTATACATGGTGTTTTCTCTGATTATTGTTTTTATACATAAAGGCTATTGATTTTTGTATGTTAATTTTATATCCTGCTACTTTACTACATTTTTTAATTTTTATTTTATTTTATTTTTTTTTGAGACAGAGCCTCAAGCTGTCCCCTTGGGTAGAGTGCTGTGGCATCACAGCTCACAGCAACCTCCAACTCCAGGGCTCAAGCGAGTCTCTTGCCTCAGCCTCCCAAGTAGCTGGGACCACAGGCGCCCACCACAATGCCTGGCTAATGTTTATGTTTTTATGTTTAAGTTGTATTATTCTCTGTGGTCATCTAGGAATGATATTTTTCATTTACAAGTAGAAATAGTTTTACTTCTCATTTACCTATTCTTTTTTTTTTGAGACAGAGTCTCACTTTGTCACCCTTGGTAGAGTGCCATGGTATCATAGCTCACAGCAACCTCACACTCTTGGGTTCAAGAGATCCTCTTGCCTCATCCTCCTGGGTAACTGGGATTACAGGCACCCACCACAACCCCTGGAAGGTTTTTCTGTTTTTAGTAGAGACGGGTATCTTGCTCTTACTCAGGTTGGTCTCGACTTCCTGAGCTCAGGCAATCCACCCACCTTGGCCTCTCAAAATGCTAGGATTATAGGTGTGAGCCACCACGGCTGGCCTCTTTAACTGTTCTTATGGCCCTAAGTAATTTCTTTTGTTTAAGTTCATTGACCAATACCTCCAATTCAGTATTGAATAGCAGTGGAGATAGTGGATATCCTGGCCTTTTTCCTGATATTAGTGGAAATATCTCTAGTATTTCCCAGTTAAATAAAATATTGGTTCTAAGATAGATAGATATGATATGTATTGGGTTTAGGTACCAAAGTTACTTCTTCTTCATAAAAGAATTTTTTTTCTTTTTTAATACTCTGGAACAATTTATAGAGCATTGAGACTATCTGCCTTTATAAGATTTACCAATTCTTTCCTGGAAGACTATCTGGGCTTGATGGTTTTGTGTAAGGGGTGATTATTACTGACTTTGTCTATTTTTTTCCTGTGGAAATTGGTTCATTTAAGCTAATTCTAATTTATTCATCTGTATTTATCTAGGAAATTATCTATTTCATCTAGATTTTCAAATTTATTTGCATGTAAGTATGCAACAAAATAGTATCTCATGATTTTTTAAATTTCTTTTTTTCCTAGTTATTTCCCTTTGTCATTTCTTATTTGTGATTTCTCTTTTTTTTTTAAATCAAATCAAAGAGTGGTTTGTGTATTTTCTTAATTCTTTCAAAAGAGTATTTTGAAATGTACTAATACACAAACTATAGTAGAAATACTAGAGTATTTTGAATTAGTACATCTGTCTATAGTTTGTGTATTTCTTTAATTCTTTCAACCCAGGATTTTAATTTATTAATAGACCTACAGTTTCTCTGTTCCCTACCTCATTAATTTCTTTCATTTTTATTACATCCTTCCTTCTAGTGTCTTTGGTTTATTTTATTTTTCTGTTTTTGCTTTTCTTTTTAAGTCAAAAATTTAATTCATTTATTTTCAATCTTTCATTTTTATTGATTAAAAGTATTTTCAGTACAAAGGTTCTGCCCTTGACAAAACCTTAGTCAGGCTCTCAGCTGTTTTTCTATAAGGCCCTCTACTTGAGCATGTTCTCAAAAGCTCAGTTTTAGTGAGAATTTTGCTAACTCAGTTTAGCCAGGATCCCCTTCCCTGTACATTTGATGACTTTTGAATATCTGATCAAGTTCCTTATTAATCACAATCCACCATCTGATTACCCTGACCTACCTATCATAAGAATCCTTTTTATGGTCTGTTTAGCCAAGAACTACCCTATTGTCTTAGTAATTTTCCATTCCCAGATCTCACCTGCTCTCTAGGTATGCTCCCTGACTATAAATTCCTACTTTTCCTTGTTGTATTTGGAGCTAAGCCCAATGGCTCTCCACTATTGCAGAACCTCATTGTAGTATTTCCTATACCTATTGCAATAGTTCTCAGTAAGTTCTGCCTTACTGTTTAAAAAAATGTCACAAATATTTTTTTTCTTAACTACTAAACCTCAACTACTATGAAGTTTTTTCTGATTGCTACTATTATGTATCCAGAGATTCTGATATATAGTTGTTTTCATTGTTTGACTATTATAAAATTTCAGCTACATTTCTTCTTTTACCCAAGAGTTACCAAATCAAAGAAGGTTTTAATATTTATACATGGAAAGGCCTGATTTTGTTTTTATTAGTGTTTTTAAGGTTTATTTCTCTGTGATAAGAAATTTATTTGGTGCTTGCTTCAGCAGCACATATACTAACTAAAACAGAGAGTGTTGTTTGTAATATTTCTACTTTTTGAAAATAAATGATATTTTCTTGGTGATCTTACATGTGCGAGTGTTGAGTATATATTCTTGAAAAATTGTATTCTCTATTTTTAGTTTAGGGTTCAACATAAGTTTAAAATGTCTGTTATTGTGTTGTTTGGTTCTGTTGTCTACTTACTTACTTTTTACATTTGATCTTAGCCAAAAGGCCAAGAAGTAATCTACTTACTTTTTTGTGTCCACTTGTCTTGTGCTGAGAATTAGTACATTAAAATATCCACTATTAGCATGTTTCTAGGGTCTCCTTGCATCTTATGTAGATTTTATTCATAAAGGTTTTTTCTGTGTTATCCGATGCATAAATATTCATGAATGTTATATATTTGTTATGAATTGTAGCTTTTAGCATTAAAAATTATGGATTTGTTAATTTTCCTTGTGTCCATTTTTGTGGTATTGAGGTTTTTATAAGGTTACTAATCTAAATCTGTCAATATAAGACAGAATGGATTTTTATCTTGTTTATTTTGTAGTTGGTAAAGTGTGTGAATCTGTCTTTTTTGTCTTGAATGACTCTGATTTTCCCCTTCATCACCAAATTGCAAAGAGAAGTTCTCCCTTTGTTTATCCCTTCTTTTTCTTCCCTGAACAGTGCATTTTAAAGACTGTCCCTTCATACTGCACATACTTTGAATTCTCTGCCCTGTAGTATGCCAGAATCTCTTCTGGTATTTTAGACTTAGTGGGATTTCATGTTTTGGACAATAATTTTCGACTGACCTTAGGCACCCTTTTCTAGTTTCTCCCTTCTGTTTTCCCTTTAATTTCTTGGTCTGCCTTTGCTCACCACAAAGCATGGCAACAGGGTGGCAGAGAAAACACACAATGGGATTTGGTGATTTTTCTC